AAAAAAAAAAAAAAAAATTTGTAGGATGCATTTTAAACTTTATTACGCTATAAATAAGTGGGAGAAAATGTCGATTTTTACTTAATTTCATGCCAAATATTATTTTATTATTCTTAAAATTAACACATTTTTTATAAAGATGTACAAATGCATAAATATAATTTGTGGATTATTAAAATAAAATTAATAAATTAAGAAGTCATTAAATATTTTTTTCTAAGAAAATAGACAATACTAGAAAAATGAGACTAGATTGAATTTTTTTAATTCGTATTGTTCCACACCATCTTGAAGGATATATAATAATTATCGCATTATACTTACTTTCATAGGCAGATTAGTACTATTGCAAACATACCCTTTTTTTTTCTTCATAAATTGGATTATGTGTTTTGGTTTGTTTTATTTAATTAAAATACAATAATTTACAATTTATCATTAAATTTAAATTATTTGAAATAAATAAGCAATTAACACACAATGTAAATAATATTTGAATCATTTCTGACGACGATAAATATTTGTCGTCGAACATAGTTAGCACGCTATCAGATTGCACAATAGAAATTGAAGCCGATCTAACTGAACAATTTTCAACCTAAATAATACAAAACTAATAAGTAATGACCAAGGTTTAATGGGAAAAAGAACAAAATTTGAGTATGGGGAGGCCATAAATCCATACTATAATAAGTAAACCACATAATTGCCACATAAAAGGCATTAAGATCGGTCAAATGAGGATATTGATGGCTGATTTTGAATTAAAACGGACAGTGTGAACGAACAATCAACAATTCGCGGGACACAAAAGGCTCGAATGACGAATGCACGTGTGAACCCACCGAACGTCGACGAACGAATTTAAATCGGGCGACGACAGGCGAACGATTTACCAACGACATGAAAATAGATAATCTAACTTATCGAATCAATTAGACTGAGTTATCCAATTAATTGAAGTATCTTAAATGAAAGCTCAAGACAGGGACATAATTCAGATAGACGATAATGTCTACGAAATCGATCGACACGAGAAATCATCAAGACGAGGATATTTAAAAATAATTCTGCATGAGCTAGAACAAGGATTCTCACCGAGCAAATAACCTAGAAATATAAACGAGGCAAATATTTAAAATATGCTCGCAAATCATGTATATATATATAATTAAGGGCAAGGTTCATTTAATTTTATTCAACTTCAATTAATAGGAATATGAGGTTATTTAATAAAAATAAGTTGCATTTAATACAAATATGTTCATTATTTAATAATAATATGTAACTTTTAGTTATACAATTTATTTTGACATGTCACATTTTGGATGGTCCCCATTAGTGTAACACATTTTTATGTCATGAATACATAATATTTTTGTTTTTTATTTTTGATACTATATATTTTTTGGGTATTATATAAATAAATATTTTACAACAAATTTAAAATGACTACAAATATCTTTATTTTCTATTGTAGTCATACAATAATAAAAATATTATTCGAATATTACAAAGATACAACAAATATTTTGAAAATCAACCCAAGAGCGCTTGGATGAGATGACTTGGGTCTCTTCCAGCTTAACCAGTGGTCTCGTGTTCGAGCCCTGGGAATGCAGCAGTGTTAAAAACTCTTGAGGGAGAGCTTTGCCGCCCTTGTGGTCCTACCCGGCTCGATTCTGGATTAGTCGGTTTCCCTGTGGATCCAGAAACCGAAAGGTCCCTGTACCAAAAAAAAATATTTTGAAAACCAAATCCCAGAGTCACGAATCGATGAAATTTAACGATAAGGATTTGTTGTGATGAAGATTCTGACGTTAATAAAATTACGATTGTTTTATATAAAGAAGTGTTTAATAATATTTAGATTAACTTTTTTTATATAATTTTTTTCTCATTCATTAAGTTATGATTTTTTATTTTATTCTATATTTTTAATTACTAGTGCGGTACCCGTGCGGTGCACGAGCTAGTTTTATTAAAGTAAGCAGTTAAATTTGGATGATTGGAAGAACGTAAAATACATATATTGAAATGAAACACAATGTAACGTTATATATTATTAAACACATCATTGTACACAAAATTATTTGTTTGGTCCTTTGTTATATCGTCTATCACCACAAATTATATTAAGATTGTAGATAGTCTTAAATAAATCGATTAAATTATTTAGCAGAATATATACGATATTTTATAAGTGTATGAATTCATTGTTTATTTTGTAAGTGTATTCAATCAATTTCAAATTTGTATTCTAGATAATTAAGCAAAACCCAAATTTTTAGGATGTTACAATTCGATTTCATTTTGAATTTCAAATTAATATTATATGACTTTATTTTATATTTAAAAAAGTCCGAATTAAAGAAAGTAGTAATCAAATGATAAAAGATTTTTAAATTTTAATTTGAAATTTTGCCCGATTTTTATGTAATCCGATTTTTTTTAATAAACATGATCTGCTACAATTAGGTGAAGATACATGTTATAGTGTTTTGTCTAATTCAAAATTCTTGATTGTATGGTAAACATATTTTTTTAATAAAAAAATGAAAGAATTTTGACTTTTACAAAATTGTCATGCCGACTGTGCAATCTGATTTTTATAATAAATAATTGATTTGTTGAAATTAGTAAAAGATATATGTGATAGTATTTTGTCTAATTCGAAATTCTTGATTTTATTATAATCAGTTTTTTTTTAATAAAAATAGAGAAAGAAAATTGACTTTTGCATCAGTCGAAAGTTACCTAAATTAAATCCACAAGATGTATAAATTTTAGGGTGCATATTAAAAAAAATAAAAATTGTTGCACCATTTCAGACTAAATCAACCGTAATTAGTTTTAATTAAAATATAATAGTTTTCAAACAAAACACTTTAGTTAGCCAAAATTTATGGTATGTAATATTGTTTTTTTAAGGTAACACGATTTTTTGAAAGAAAAAGTAACAAGTACCATAATTTTAGGGTAGCATTTAATGCTGATTTTTTTGAAAAAAAAAAGTTACTAAGTATGGAATGTAATTAATGCTAATTGAGATTTGACCAGAATTTGACCTACTATTTTTAAAAAATGGTAATTCTTTTTATATATATAGATTTTTCTCTTCTATTATATTATTTTTCGTCAAATGCACGGGGTAAAACTAGTAAAATGAATAGGGCGCTACACAAAAACACAAAATCATTCAGCAATCAGGCCCGATCCCGATATTGTCGCTCGACGCGTCGATAGTGATCTGAGTCCCATGTTGTTGAATGTTGCCGATTATGGTAAGACTCGATGATGACACGACGAAAGCAAGGCATTCCAGAAATCCACCCATACCATCGCTCACCACAAACGTTGGCCTCTTACTCGTAATGCTCGTGTCCGACTGGTCCGATAGGTACAACGAGACAGTCGGTATCTTCTCCAACCCGCTCAGCTGATAGCACGTGTCGAGGTATTGGTACGACAATGGCATCGCATTCCCCATCTTCCTCCGAAACTCATCCCGTAGCGCCACGTAGGCGTCATTCGGAAGCCTCGTGATCGTCGTCCCCGTGTCGATTATTGCCCCTCCGTTGCCGTCGTCTGATATTAGGAACATGTCCGCGGTCACTCCCGGCAACCGTACCCCGTCAACACCGATGCCCATAAGCCTGACGTAGTAAAACATTGGTTTCATGGGGTTGGAGACACGCGGGACCCACGTGACCCCTTTGGAGGGAAAATCAGACCTATCGAAAACAATCCACCCACCATTCATTTCACTCAGGCAGTAGCTGAACGCACCGCCCGACTTGCCCACGACCGAGTACAGTGCGTCGCCGAGGCCGAGGATCCCGTCGACTTCTGTCGCAGCCGTGAGATTGTTGGATAGACCACAACCGAAGGGCATGTCTTGGACCACCCTGTTGCCGATCGTGAGGGTCTCGAGGGCTAGGGTTCCTTTCGAGTAGGAATTGTCTCCGTAATTGTAGTGGTACGTGCACTTGCCGTTGGAGTCGCAACCGCGCGCGGACTCGCGGAGTTTGTCGCAGTCGTTCGGGTAATCCGAGCTCGAGCTCGCGCAGGGGACTGACTGGTACGATGTGGACGCATCCGGGTCGAACTTCAGGTTGGGCTGATCGATGCATTCGTCGCACTTCTTGCACTGCACCCACATGAGATCGCTACCCGTGTCCGCCACTAGGGTTTGTACCACGGGCGGGGTGCCGATGCTGATGTTCACGGCTACCCCGCCCCCGACAGACACGAACTGGATGTCGTCGTCCGAGAGTTGGTTGACCAAGGCGGCCATGCGGGCGGCGTCTCTTCTCAACCGATCTTCCGAGCTAGACAAATTGCTCAAGTCGATCAATGGAAGTCTCGTGCTCGGGGAGAGGGTGGTCGGGATTGTTTTCGTTGGGCCTGCGTTGGTGGTGGAGAGGAGGAGGGGAAAGAGGAGAAATGATAGGGATGCAACAAGAGTAGTCATGGCTAACTAAAATAAACTGGTTTGGGGCTTTTAGTGAGAACTTGAAAGTTCTTTGTAAGGGGTGGCAATGTGAGGTTTTTGGGTGGATGGGAGATTTATACATGTTTATGCGTGGTTAGGGTCTTGGGGAGTGAACATTGAATAGTGGATATATAGCTATAGAGTCCTAAAGATGGAGGCGTGACAATTGATTTATGACACTTTTATTTTATTTTATTTTATTTTATTGGTACAAACACTTTTATTTTTTTAATTGAATTTTAGTTGTGACAGCGCGAGACTCGTGTTAGAAAAAACATGCAGGTTTTGAATTCCAGTGAAATTATTGCATCACCTTATTATATGTAATAAAAAATATTATAACTAAACCAAATTAGCGGCCAAACTTGTTTTGAAAGTAAAAAAGATAGTTAACATTCTAATTGCACTTGATAAAAATAATATAATTATGTATCAATTCAAACCACAAAATTATGACAAATAGGATCTCGAAACATGCGAGCCTGCCACTTAAACTAAGCACATTCAAAAATTATATATAAAAAATTATGTTTACATTATTACTTTGTTATTCGCACTTTTTACTTTTTCTCGGTTTTCAAAATTATATTTATTTTCTTTTATCGTTTACGTTTTACAAAATCATAGAGAATTATACATTTTTTTAATTTTCTATTCTATTGTCTTGATGATAGGTGTATTTATAAATGTAATGATATATTTATGAATAAAGTGAAGTAAATGGAGATCAATAAACTATTTTAAACTTTGAAAGAAGTAAGAAAATGTTATTTTAAAAAACTAAAATCGATTTTATTTTTTTTAACACAAACTAATAAAGGTAGACAATATAGGTGCTTGATAGAATAAGAAAATTAAAAATAACTGGACTTTTTTTTTTCAAATTAAGAGAAACGAACCAAGAAAATGTTACTTCAACATGAGTAATCCTTCTCCACAAGAACGACCATACAAAAGTATCCAAATAAGAGAAACAAAAAATTTCATAAACTTACTAAACTCATGGACGGATTCAGAATTAAGAGTAGTCTGAGCTAAAATTTTAAAAATTTATTTTTATAAAAAGCACATAATATTTTTTCTTCAAATATTCGCTGAAATTGTGCTCGACGAGCTTCTACAAAAAAAAAAAAAATCATTATATTCATTTTGAACCGTATTTGACATCCTTTCACTAGTTTGACGGCGATCTCGTTTTTTATAAGAATGATGATATCAATGGGGTTTTTTCATTTCTTGGTCGAAGGTTGGTGCTCCATGTGAATTTCTAAAAATTCCGCAATACAAATAAATAGATTTTCATATTATATAGTTATTAAAAAAATGAAATGCCTACACATCATAAATTTATATCCAATTATGATATACAACAACCAAACTAGAGGAGATGAGATATATATATAAAAAAAAAAAGAAAAAAAAAACACGCACACACACAGACACAATTACCACTTCATATACAATCAATAACACAAGAATCGACACCAAGATCCTAGCAATTACTATTAAAACCCTAAATAGCTCAACTAAAATGAGAAGATAGATAAAGACAATTAAACAAATGAAATAAATATCTAATAGGGGGTTTAAAAATATAAATTACTATTAAGAAATAAATAAAATTGTTTTCATAAAAACAATATCTTTTAAATGCATTATTCTGTTGTACGTGTTCAGAGAATGGATATGACCACAACTAATTTGTTTGATTGAAGTTTGATGTACAATGATATTTTGTGGGTCAGTGCCTATTAAAAACGGTGGATCAACAATATATAATATTTTATCACTCAAATCCTATGACCCATTGGTCACAATAACCACTTGACCACATTCAACAATTGAATAGCCAAGCTGGAAAATTCTCACACCATTATTAGATAGGATATGATTGTACAAGAATTTACTTATATTGTCATCATCAAGAACGAGTAGACCAAGACAAAAGGTCATAAAAAAGATTTTCAATGCATGCCGAGTCCTAGCACTCCTAAATATTGCATTTGTTGTTTCAATCCGAACTCGAATTTCTAATGCTTTAAGTTTTCTCGAGCCAGTAAATGAGAATGAACTAGTCGACTCGAGTCTTAAAGAGTTGAGTTTAAACAAATAATTCTAAAAATTATATATATATATATATAAAAAAAAAACTCATTTGATTATATCAAACGAACCTTAACGAGTTTTATCTCGAGTCGTTTGAATTTGAACTGAGCTCACGAACGATTCGTTTTATTTAATCACTCAAGTTGTGGCACACCGACAATGCCATAAAAAGGTTAACGGGAAATTTTGACCAAAGATTGAATCATTACCTTGAAATAAAAAGGTTAATGGCGAAATTTGACCCAAAAATTGAATAATTAATTACCTTGAAATTGTGTATATGTTGATTGAACCTTAATGAGTACACATGTTGCGAACTTTTTTTTTTTTTTTTTAATCATAAGAATGATAGCCGCATAACCAATTATTTTTAATTAATTATATGATATTAAATTAATATATATATAATATATATTAACCAAAAAAAAATGTACATTATCAATTGTATACTACGTATGTAATTTAGTAAATGATTGGCTTATGTGTATTTAGGCTTGATGGGCTGGTCCGGAGTGCATGAGATTTTTTATGTACAACATGTTGATGCGAGATTGAACCATTTTTATTGGTGCATAAACGTGTTGTACATAAAAAAAAAAAAAAAAAAAA